GCTTTTCAGTAATAGCTAACTCATGGGGCCATTTATCTCATTTAAGAAAACACTGTGTTTACAGTTTAGCCTCTATCTTGCTTATGTAAACACCAAACTTCCTGCTACAGTTCCTGTTAACATCTCAGGTAAATTCAAAGCATTGACGTCACAGGATGATTCAGAATGTTGAATTTGAGCTCATCTACACTTAACAGCAAAAAAAAGTTCTCTTTCAACCTTGGAAAATGGTAGTCAGACAGTAATTTGAGCACACGGCCCTCGACATTAGCTTTTTGACAACCACACTCATGGATTCAGATGTCAACCGATCCATCTCCATGACAGCCGAGACTGTGATAGAACCAAAAGCCTGGAAAAAGCTGATAAGTGGACCTCAACCTGAGCTTGTTTTGTTCCGGGTGGATTTGTCCTTATAATTTTGTTTACATATCATGATATAATATATTCCATATGTGACCAAAAGTGGTATTTGAATTCTAAGTCAACCTACAGGGCAAACGATGGCCTGAAGCATTAGGTCAGATTAAGAGTTGGGACGTTTTGAGCTCACTTTTCCATCTTAATGGATGAATAGAGCATTAGATGAAGTGGAAACCGTGTGCAGAAACACAGGTCCAATGAGCCAAGTGCAAAAAAATAACACAATTAAGAGTTACAATTAAGGAAATGCAGCATGCATTCAGATGAACCCAGTAAACACTCAAATGGAATCCATGGGGCCTTTGTGGTCCTTCCTGATCAATCTTTTATTTTTCTAAGAGCCATACTTTGAAAAGCATTGCAAACATTTTGACACCAACTTTTTGAAGACATTTCCAGACTAATCAGAGAACATGAAGCCAAAATTAAAAGACCCATTCTACATTATTAAAGGACTTTAATTTCCAGTGTGGTGACTTTTTTCTTCAAACAAAGATGGTAGCCAGGTGACTGTTCTCCTTTTTGTGTGACACAGAAATGTATGTTTTCAATTTAAATAGATATATAAATGTAAAGCAACACAAATGATACATTTATATGCTACAGATAAATTATCTTGACAATTAACATACCTCACTTCCGGATTTGTTTGGCTAATCAAAGGAAACTTCTCTTCCTGTGGAACATTACACACCACTGGCTATTTTTATTTTCAGCTTGATAAAAGTCTTAGGAGGATGTTTTCAGAACACTGGTAAGTGTTGTCAAACAACTTACTGGGCTGTTCTAACTTTGGTTTGTCTCTGAAGGATTCAAACCCTTAGCTACAGTAGCTCAAATGTAACGCCAGAGCCAAACTCCCACATGGAATAAACAACAATTAGCTATTGAGAGGCACAAACTGGTGCTATCAAGGAAAACGGTAACACACCAGAACAAAGATCTAAATATAGCCTACTTAAAGAATCTAACTTAATCAGGTGTGTTTCTCCCAGGTTTCCTCAATGAGGCCTTAAACAAAAAAACCAAAGACGATAATGTGTTTCCTTCTGATCTCACTGTGTTTCTTATGTAATTCGTGAAGAGTCAACATCTGTATCAGATATATTCAACCTCTTGTAAAAGCGTTTCCATGATTAAACACGCTCATTTTCCGCGGGGGCGTGGATGGTTTAACATACAGAACCATTCGGACCACTCCCAGTGTCCAAGCGGCGCACATGTCTTAACCGTGTTTAGATAATCCGCTGTGGATATCCATCAGGAAATCCGACCCGCCCTCTGGATCTCTAAGCAGCGGGCCGTTTAGTTTCTCTCCCACCTCCTCCTCGCCTTGCCTGCACTATATGTTACAATTCCAGCCCGCTCCGCTCGCTTTTTACGCAAGCGGACGTCCACGGCACGGCGACACGAGTGCGCACTACAGACGAGAGAAAGCGGCACGGCAGCGGGCACCGGAGCGACGTATCTGCCGTTTCTGGAACCCGGCAGCCTGGATGGTGGATTAGTTGATTTTTACGGATTTGGATCGGAGGCTAGGATAACTTCGCATGGGACAAAACCCGCCTTCTTTCATGTCATCCACCGATTTATTTCGCCCGGCGTGTTGACGCCAGTGGGAATGGGGAAACGGAGGCTGCTGGCTGAGCGCATCTGACAGATAGGCGACATGAATATACACGCGTTTCCGTGTACCAGCTGTACAGGATAGGTGTAAACAAAACGGCTTGTGGTTTTAAATGTGGAGCTTATAATGCGACAGCGTTGGTCGGTAGAAACGGAGACACGGAAAAGACGCTCTGCTGCATGCTTGAGGTTTTGCAGTAGGGCAGTGTGTTATTGACGATTTGCACGGCGTGGAATAATGCATAGAGACAACTTTGTTCCCAGGCCTGACAGACTCCGAGGCGTTTGGTCATCTCTCATAAAAGTGCATTTATTAGACAAACTGGCGTGTGCAATGCCAGTCCTGTTATCCTTGAATATAGCTTAGTGCTCCAGTCAGCGCCAGTGCCATTTATCTATCAGCCCCGAAGCCCTGTGCCGTTTTATCATTCACATTTGTAAACCCACATCCTGCAGTCTGTTGATGTCAGTGATTGCGTTACTGTACGTACATAAACCTCCAAAGCTCTGGAGCTGTGCTGCCAGGTGATCGGTGGATCGTAGATGTAGGCAGGCCGAACTTTGGCTCGATGTAGACCCGATCAATAGCGAGGTGAGACAGCTCTGGCAGTCTGCTTATGTTACTCCGCAACTGTCACGGGGGTGTGTTTAAAATCCCGCATATCTAGCTTTATATGCCTGAAGGTAACGCAGACGCTGCTCAGTAGAGAAGGGCGACTGACACAACGCCGTGTAGTTGTGGAGAAAACACTGAAAGGCAACGTCTCAGTAAAAAGTTTAAATGGTTTTCCGAAAGTTGCCCGGCGCATCGGGCATGGGGCTGCGCCTGTCCCAGAAATTCGTGTTTCTGCTCTTTCTCTCGGGTTTGGTAACACTGTGTTTTGGGGCCCTTTTCTTTTTGCCCGACTCTGTCCGACTAAAACGCATTTTTCTGTCCAAGACAGAAACCCAGCCAGTCACTGCTGGCTCCGGGTCCGAGAACGATGTCAGGGAGCATTTAAAAAGACCCAAGGACCAGGAGCACCCGCGGGGTATGACCTCGGCCAAGGGGGAGACCAGCACCAAGCTGAAAAGTCTGAGCCGCAAACCGCCCGTGTCCCATGAGGTGGCCGAGGAGCGGCTGGCCGGGGGCAAAGCGCAGGAGGATCTGACTGTGCCCAGGTCGAAAACGGAGTCCGCGACCTCGTCAGACGATGGTGCCAGCTCGGATACTTTCAGTTACATGAAGTTTAAGAGGTGTCTGATCAAACCACCGCTGGGGAGGGACAACGGCAAGCCGAGCGACCCGGAGACCGACGAACGCCGGGAGAAAGTCAAAGAGGTAAGGACAGTGTTTATACAGGGAGTGGGACAGCTGACATACTGAAGCCTCAATGGTCCTATGGAAATATGGTAGGGGAAGCAATTACTGACCTTAAAGAGAGACAGAAGGATTTAATTGGGGGGGGGTGAACAAAGGTTAAACATAAACTGCCACACTGATGAAATGATCTGATAAAGCATTTGGAGTCACTTCAGTTACCCCACAGAAACCGCTATAAACCTGCTTTTCAAACGTTCATTTGGTTTCACAATAAACCGAAAGTAAAAAGTATGTATGTTTCATGCTTTTCAGTGAACACACGTTCATGCTGTCAAAACATGACACAAACACAACCGATAAATAGTAGTCTGCCTTATTCAGACATCAAAACAGGCATGCTCACTTGAAAGAAGTAATTATATTTTCATTGTTGGATTTGTGAGTTTGTCTGACAATAGATGGTTTCTCTATCGAAGCGGGGGACATTTGTGTGCCAAGCTTCTGTCAAACAGACAAAGTAATCCCTTTCAGTCAGTTTGTACCAAGTGCCTTTAACTTTTCCTTGATGAATTTTTGTCATGTTTTTATTAATGACGATGGAAAATAGTGCCATTGCTAAAGGTGACTTGAATATTTCTGCAAAGTGCATTCATAAGAAACAATATGGTATAACTTTTAAATAATCAATTCATATAAATACATATACTGTACTCTCCTGAGCAGTAATTTAGGACATGTCATGAATTTGTAAAATCTCTACAGATGATGATATGCCTGTGTGCATGTAATTGTACAAATGATCAGATAGCCTTATTTGTTGTTAACGTAGGCTGTAAAAATGTCTTCCACTATTTTTTTTTCTTCTGAATGACAAAATGTTCTTGGCTGTAGCAGCTCTATCTCACTCACACAATTCCCTGCAAATGATATCACAGTGTGTGCTGACACTTTGGCCAGGAGCTCTCTGAGCTGTGTGCTAGCCTTTGTTGAGCCTTGTGGGTCCAATAAGGGCTCCAGAGCGGGAGCGTCTGTGGATCACACATCTGTACCACTCAAGGCAAATGAAGCTGGTAGGGAGGGGGAGGGGAGGAGGAGGGAGTGCAGTGGGGCAGTCACTGGCCTGTGCAGATGGGTTTCATCCTTGGCACGTGACACGGATAAGATCTGTTGTCGCTTTCATTTCCAGCCTGTTGTCACCCACTCGTTCTGCTCACATGCCTTTCTTAGCTAAAGGTGACATGCAACATGATAACTGAGGCGTCAGAGGATGGAGAGCGTTATTCGCCCTCGTGCACTGAGCTCTCACCGACTCACTGCTTCTACTTTGATGCTCTTTCAAGTCAAAGTCAATGTGACTTTGCTCACCGGGTTTGTTCAGCTGCGCTTTGCAGAGTTCTTGCCTTGGGGTCATGGTCATCTGAGGAAAAGTCATTTTACATCATGCCCTATTTTGCCTAATTATTGTTGTAGAATATTAATTGTTTCTCCTTCAGTGAAGATCTTTAATTAGGGTGTTGAAGAGCAGAGCCTCTGTTTACACACATTGCATGCCTCTGTGTATGTGCCCATATGATAATTTTTGTGGTTTGCTGTTGTTGTTACTACAGTTTCCACAGTCTCAACCCTGCTGGCAGCATTCCAGCAACCCCCCCCCCATTCATGCTGCCAGCACAGGCTGACACGTTGAGAGCCTGTGCTTTGTCTTGCTATACAGATTTAAAACCAAAGAGTAACTGTTACAGTAAAACTGACAACACTAACATGTTTCGATGTAGGTTTCTGTGAAGCATGAAAAACATACAGAATTAAATGATTTTTTTTTTTTTTTTTTTAAAGCTGTCTGTCTCAGCTTGTGTTGTGGTGTACAGACAGAGTAGCTCTTTGTTTTCCCACTGTAAAGGAATGTAGAGAAAGGGTATCCTCCTCCCAAAGCCAACAGAAAGGATCTGGTCCAGGCCACTGAGTGCCTCAGTGCCCAAACTGTGAATGGGCGATGTTTTTCTCAACTGCCAACAACTAGAAAGCAGACTCCCCACCTTCTTCCTCTGTGTGTGCACCCACTGCCAAGAGAAGGTGAAACAAGGGACAATGAATGCCTGATCACACAAGGCAAATGTTTGAAGGCGGCCCACCGCTAGCGAGGAGCCCCAGGATACCAGCGTATCCTGCCAAAGTCGGAAAGGTGCTGTGTACCTAATCCAGCAATTTCTTAATAATAGATTGTTCATTCTCCTCCAAAGGTCCTTAGCAGGATAAACAGGACAGTAATTTTCAAACGTCCTTCTATTTGTAATTCTGTGATGTCATGGCTCACTGAATCACCTGCGATGCCATGTTGCTGCCTCATTGGCTCCAGCATAAGAGGCTGGATAGCGGGGATTGTAACACAAAAATGTGCACCTGGAGCAACAGGAGGGTGTCCTTTTCTGCATGCATGTTTTGTTGCTGCTGCCCTTTTAAATTCAGTAGGAGTAGAACTTGGAGTGCAGTACTAAAATACTGAATGCAGAGTGCAGACGTACAGTAGTACATCCAAACAAACACAACTGCAGAGCATAGAGGACATCAGTAAATGATAAGCATTCACAGACTAAAGCCTCTATATCTCTTTTCTCTGTTGGTCTCCACAGCATCACATACATCAAACCAGAAGTGTGCATTAAAATCAGTGTCTATAAAGCCTGAGATTTGTTCTCTTGTTCATCCTCTGAATGTTTAACAGATGTGCCAGTGCAGTCGGTCACACACACCGGTGGCTCAAGGAAATTGGAATATACTGTACAATGTGGCCTCTAACATATAATACATTTACAGGAGAAGGTAGAGCAGCAGGGAGGAGATAAAACTGACAGCTAAGAGTACCGCAGTGAGAGGACAGACACACTGCAGCCTTTTGTGGCTGAGCCTCCTCCAGCGGAGCAGTAAGAGTCTTCAGGGCTTCTTTGTCCTGTGTGCCTTTGTGAACTGTGTATACACTTGCTGGCTTATCGTAGATGATGAAATGTTTGGGGATAGATGTGGAGTTTGACAGCTTCGGTTGGAGGTGTTACCACTGTGTTTATCCATCCAGTTCCACCTGCATCACTGTGGAGACTAGAAACAGTCAAATGAGGTGCATCTGTTCTGTTTCAGAGCAAGTCAGTTTGCTGTTCAGTTGGATGTGTGTGTGTCTAATCCAAAATAACACAGTATTTTAGAGAAATGTACCCCCCCCATGCTGTGTTCATAATGGAAAGCACAAAACATTTGGATCCAAAGTCATTAAAACTAACAAGAGGTGCAAAATGCTGATCAGACACATCTCATGAGCTATCATCAGCTTTTTTTTTTTAGTTCACTGACAGACTAACAGGAACACACACCTCATGTGCTTCACTTTGCAATTGGAGGGAATTTTTTTTCCTGAAAAAGGAAACAAAACACTGTCTTGAATTGAAAATAAATAGTAAATTGAGTAATAACTTGGAGAAATGTGATTTTTATGTCCCTACAAATCTGACTCGTGTACAGTCCAGTTTCACTAGAGTGTCAGAGGTCGGGTTCACCTACAGAGCAGCAGCCACAGAGTAGATGTAGCTGAAATACATTTGAACAGAGACATCATTTAAAATGATGGGCTCTACACTGAGCCACAAGTGACAGGTTTTGCTCTTGAGAGATTAGAGTTGATGTAACTAAAACAATCTAAGGACAGATTTTCTCTCAGAGCCAGAACATTTTTTACAGTGTAAGGTGTATCACTGCCTGTGCAAAATCTTTGTCCCTGCTATAACAACTGAAGTGCCATGTCACTCACAGACATACAAAGCTTCAGAAACAGGTGAGCTTGTAGCTGGAGCTGAAATCCCCTTACAGCAGTAATGACCGGTGAGCTGGGTGTCTGTGTGAATGAAATGCTCTTGTTAAGCCGGCGTCTCCTGACCGGATCTGCGCACCGTGACCTCCCTCCACTCTTCGTTCCCCTGCTGTCTCTCGCTATGAAACGGGTGTGCCAAACATCCTTCAGTCTGGGCCAGGAAAATGGCTGCATGCTGAGCGAGAAGAAGGAAACGGAAGATGAACAAAGTCCTAAGAAAAGGCTTACACTCTCTTAGCGCTCCCACAGAGCTGGAACTTTTGTGCTTTTCTGCTCCTCTGTGGATGCTGTTCAAATGTCAGCGGCTGTTGTTTAGAATGTGCGCCCGTCATTATCTTTGGTCTGTTTATGTGGGGGCGTGAGCTGCCAGGCCTGCTGGTTATTGATATATTGTGCACTTCAATGGCAGCTGAGGCAGATATTATCAACCAGTCAGTGCTGTGTCTCATTGCTGCAGGGCAGTGATACAGGCCTCCTCCACAACACAAGAAGACCTGGACCCCTTGATCTCTTTTCTGAGACCTTTGTTTGTGCTAATTTTACATGGATGTTAGAGGGATTCAGTGGGTTTTACCCAGGGCTACATATAGCAATTGCAATAGTAGACTAACCTTCCAGGTTAACAATATGAGTGGTCAGTAATAGTGACTGGATGTTAAAAAAAAAAAAAAGACCTACAGATCTCCAAAATGCCTGACACACTAAACCACAGAGGCTCTAACTATAGAAACTGCAGGCTTCTGTTATCCTGATGTAACAGACCTACACACACTACTACAGTGTATCTGAAGCATTAATGCTATTTGTGCTGATAAGTTAAAATACTGATTGTTAGTAATTATGGCAGGGTGCTAGCAGATAATCGCCCAGAGCATGATTGATACCTGCCATTTATCCTCTAGTGCAAGCAGCTGATCTGTTTCTTATTTCTCTTTTTTTCAAAAGATCCTTCTTGCAATCAGAGTTTTTGTTTACATTAAGCATTGTTCACCAAAATGCATTGTCTTTATCCTTGAGGTCTAACAAACACTAAACGTGCTCGACCTTACAAAACATTTACAGATTGCCACTTTCATTTTTACTCATTAGCAGGTGACTTCATCTTTGCCTGTGCTTCCACATTGCTTTGCTTCTTTGTTCCCGTCACCTGTGGATCAGTGTG